TTTTTTCCTCTCCCATTTAATCTATCTAAAATAGGATAGATTAATTGAACCTAAATATTATGAACGATCACCATATAGGAGTTTGTCAATGGGAGCTCGGTCATAAGGTTTGAAACAGTTTTGCCACTTGAATGTGTGCAACTCTGAGATCATTAGCGCGGAAATTGAATTTTTGATTTTTGGATTCGGGAAAAACAAGGATTTGAATTTACCAATTTACCAGTTAGTGCTCGGGCATAGCCCGGTGCCACAATGCGATGTATGCGCAGCGAAAATCCTAATACTCCCCGATTTACCATAATCACAGGTCGAGAGAAATTAACATTTTCAGATCTTTTGGTCCTGTGCTCATGCTATGTTACTTATTGTGGAAAGCGTTCATAGTTCCTAGAATTCACCGAGTCAAGACAGAATCTGCTATATTAGCTGAAAGTTGACTTGGCGATGATCCGCAGCATTGTCAATTCCCATCGCGGAAGAGCCCACGGATGACGTAAAATCCTATGGATATCGGCGACGACTTGCGAGTCCCCATTTCATCCGTCGAACCAAAGTTCTCGCACATGATCAGTCGACTTAACCATTGTGTTAAGAATCTTACGTATCATCACCAATTCAACATCAGTTTTTTTCTCTCGGTCAATCATATCCTTTGTCGTCACACGTATACGTTACCCAAAATAAAAAATTACAGGAATCGCATTTAATAAAAGCTGACACAAATCAAAACAGATCTTCAAATTTTCGACCATACTGAGGAAAAAAAACTACCATTTTTGCTGCAAGCAATTATTAGCGAATAAATGGGCGTTAACCAACCTTAGAATCAATCAATCCTGTCGAATTTTAATTAACGACTATGCTCTTTGTGAAGAGAAATTGTTTATGATTCATGCAAGAATACTATGCGTAAATTTTTATTTGTTGATTTTTAGGTTTTTTTGGGACTGCCTCAATACGTAAGGATAATGCAAGATTGCTTACGGAAATTTAATTATGGATTAGGTAGTCGTTATTTACCTATTGTTACCAAAAGAAACCTCCGTACCTGATCTTTTTACGTTAACCTTGATATATAACATTCGGTCTTCATAGGTCACGGCGTGTGCTAATGGAATTTTTTTTGGAGTTAAAGAACTTCCTTTCATTACGCATACGGTATTCATTTTACTGGTACTTTGCCAAATTGGAATATGCAAGTACGCATTATGTCATACCAAGTTATAAATTGCGTACCTATTGTTACGTAATGTTTTTGATCCTCGGGGATGACTTTTTAGTGCACAAAGAGGACAAAGTTCGTTATGGTCGAGGAGGAAGAAGAGGAAACGAGGAGTTTGAAATCAAGAAAAAAAATTTTTTTTTTTTTTTTTTTTTTTCTCTTTCACTTTCACATGGCTGACGCCGCTTTTCTATTTGCGAAATAGGGATATGACAGGGGTGGGGTTGCGGAGTGGTGGATATGACGAGTAATTTGTTTGGAATATCCATTGCCTTTTTTATT